TCGTCAGCCTTAGGGATAAAACCATTCTGTGCAAAGTGCCCAAGGAAATCAAATTCTTCTTCAAGTCTGGGATATGTTGAACACTCAACGTCCGAACGGAGCCATCGTGCATCTTAATTCTGACATCACCAATACCAACAATATTGCAACATCGATCATCACCAAATAAACCGAACCAGAATTAACCGGCCTGTATGTCGAAAACCATTCCCTATTTGGCGTGATGTGATAAGAACATCCAGAATCAAGAATCCAAGCATCCGTCAATTGTGTCGTTGAAATAGAAAGCATATCACCCTCACTGCAATCAGAAGTATCATCCTCGACACGTTCACAGACTTGGATGAGCCATCACGCTTCTCATCAGTCTGCTTTTTCAACTTCGGACAGTCTCGCTTCATATGTCCCGCCTCCTTGCACTTGTAACAGTGAATCGTCTTCTTATCCCTGGATTTGGATCTGGAATTCCGCTTCCCGGACCCTACCTTCTCTGGCTTCCGTCCACGATCTCGATTACCCTTGATAGCTATCGGCTTGAGAGCTTTCCCTGCATTGCTTCCGCTGGTTGTGAGCCAACAAGGCTGCAGTAATCTCCTCAACGTTGATAGTCTCTTTCCCATATGTAAGAGTAGTCACCATGTGTTCGTAGAGGAAGGCAACGAACACAACAGAATCATCGCTCTGTCTTCATCCTCAATTTTCACATCAAGCCGAGCCAGATCAGAAACGATTTGATTGAAGACATTCACATGTTGCGCCAAATCGTGATCGTCTGCATCTTCAGCCCATACAACCGCTGCTTCAGATACAGTTTTGTCGTTAAGGATTTGGACATAAACTGACTTTCCAACTTCCTCCAAATTTCGTCTGGAGACGATAGATGCATGACGTGATACATGACCTCGTCCGCCAAGCATAATCGTATGGTTCCTGCCGCTCGCTGCTGCAATTCTTCCTAATCTTCCTCATCCATCGACGCCGGCTTTGTAGGTCGCAAAGCCTTCAAGATCCCTTGCTGCGCCAATAGATCCTTCACCCTCGTTTGCCATAATCCGAAGTTACCCTGACCATCGAATTTCGCGACTTCGAATTTTGCTCCTGACATCTGATACCAATTGTTGACGAAAACGGGTAAAGAAAACGAAAGAACACGAGAATTTTACGAGGTTCGGCAATGTGCTTACGTCCTCGGTGCCTAGGCGGCGCTAGAAGTTTTATTCAATGATGTTTTAGGTCTAGGTTACATCTCTATTTATAATAGAAAACCCTGGTACATAATTACAAAATCAACCCTGTACCGTACCGCGGGGGCTACGCCCCACACCCCAACCCACATAATTTGTAACCCACAACGAGACTTTTTGTAAGGACAGTTGATGTTCGCTTCGCTCACTCCGCTCCATCTCCTGTCCTCTTTACTGGTATATTTATGAGCCATACCTAACAGTTAGCTTCTGCACCGTAAACCAATTGGGCATTTGGTGTTTCGAGCATTGCCTTCAGAGAAAGCTAAATGTTAGTATTTGAAAATCAAACAAATTCAATAAACCATTAATCTTGCATAATATACCTGAATAATCCCTGCATGATCTCCTTTTGAATGGTCTGACTCTGCAGAGGCCCATGTTCCAGGCCAGTGAGAACCATCTGACATCCAAGTAGCCACAGGAATCTTAATAGGGTATGAAAAATTGCCTCCCATTTCCATCTGTTTCTTCTTTGCTCTAAGCTATTCATGAGCATTGTAAGCATTTGATCTCCTCCTAATCGAATCCTGCAATAAGTTAACCCTCAGTTTGAATTCATTATAATATCTCTTCACTCTCCTCCTCTCCCTAAGGAAATCAAGCCTCACTTTGTTCTTCGAAAAGTCGCGCTTCTGCCCGAAATATGCTTCAGGGTCCATGGATGTATGTCGTATTTCCGGAAGAAAGGAACCTAAATTCTAGCCTTCGATTGTCAGAAGAGATCCACCATCATCTGAGAGATAACAAGCAAGTTTTTTTACTGGACAGCCAACAACTAGGATCAAAAGGATGGTATTTGCTGTGACAAGAGGCGGTTCTTTTTCAAGATCAGCCGTGGAAACAAAAACATCGATGCCTGGAAGGTTGGACCTCTCTTTTGTGTTACAGAGGATTAGGGGACTCGAATCGCTCCTTGAGGACCGAGAGATCAGTTATTCTGTTTACAGGACAGAGTTTAGGAAGCTGATCTAGTATACATAACCACATTGCATCACGGTTGGGGTGCCTAATCGTCCATGTAAGAAAGAAACTCAGAGCAACAAGACGGAGTATAATAAGCCATCTGCATACAACCAAACATGTATAAATTCAAGATTCAGAACAAAATACAGATTCATAGCTCAACTAAAATCAAAAAGTTGATTAGACTATAGATTACTGCAGCATAAAACTATACAATTTGTTGGTACTTGAATTGAGATAACTATACATAAAATTTATCACGCTTGAAATTAGTTTCTCTCTCACCATTAACACATTAATGAAGTAATGAACTACAAAGCATGAAATATCAGTTAATCAAATCTAAGAATTGAAATTATCTGTATGGACTGAGAAGTGCAGCAGAATCTCCAACCTTTCTAGTCAAAGATCTTTTACATCTCTCTCCAAAGTCTGGTGGATGCTCAAATCCATTAGCACCAGCTCGAACCCCATAACCATCCTTAGGCCCCGTAACCATGCTTCTCCCACTTTCTTTTCCGGCTGAAGAAACCGCTATTGTCACCGGAGAAGAAGCCTATTTCACCATCTTTTTACTGTGAATATCCCTTCTCCGATACAAAACAACCCTCAAATTTTGAAGGAAAGAAAACAATAAATAATACCCAGAAGAAGAAGAAGAAAATACAAACAGCTATTTTTTAAAGCTGAAACGGTCGATATTGTTTTATTTTGTACATGCCTCGGAATGAAATCATAAAATTTGGGTAGTTTTGTTGTGCGGTAGTCTAATTTAAGGTTAAAAGATATGATTTTGATGTATAACTAAAATTATTATAAAAATCATAATATTTAATGTTTAGCAACCTAAAATTTTATTTTTTACTAACATTTTAGATTATGTTCAACTTAAAATGTTGTTTCTTTTATCACATTTTCAGTTACACACAAAAATCATTGTTTTTTAGTCCTAAATTAAATTGTCGTTCCTTAGATTTCTCCTAAAAAAATATGGATCAATCGGTTCAATTCTTTTGCCTCAATCTCTTGCTATGTGAGCTTCATAATCTTTTTATTTTCTTAATATCAATTTCATTTTAATATTTTCTTGTTTATAAATTTCTTTATTTTTATCCTCTTTTTAGCACATTTTTAAGATAAATGTCCGAATTCAAATGTATATAAGCTAAAAACAACATGAGAATACTTGACTACTTTATCAATCAATAAATCCCAAGTATAATAATATTTTTAAAATAATAAGTACACAGTTGCTCCTTTCCAAAACTTACATAACTTAATGTATCTTCTTGTGCGTTGAATGACAATATCTTAAAGTAAAATTGTAGGGACGAAGGTTTGAAAAAATTTCTTGTATGAGGTATTGAATTTTTTTTTCTAGTATGAAATGAGTAGTGTAGGGGGAAGTCCGTCGGAGAATTTGACATCTTCGTAAAGTTAACTGAAACAGTCGGCGTCTTCTGAACATACAACAAAGGGATGCTTGATTACCCACTTGACTTTTATTGTGATCAAAGAAAATGAGTCTTTGGTCGAGAGGGAGCTAAAGGTGGGTGACGATTTCCTACCCGAGTCAAGAAAGAAAGAAAAAAGTCTCAAGTTGTTAAAATGGAAGGTGGAGGAATGAAGATGCTTAACCGGCCAGGATAACTTCAGCAAAGACGGAGATGAAAAACTTGATGACATTAGGTGCTCCAGTCGACTTTCTGGAGGCATCAGATTCTCCAACCGAAATCTCAGAATCTAACCTATGCAAATGGTCCACGTATTCATCGTATTCTCCAACAACAAAATTTGCTAGGCTGATAGAATAACTCGTCACCATCTAAAATGGAGCACGAAAGCACAGCAGCATTGTCCCCCACGTTTCTATACAACTGTTCTTCATTTAAAAAGGCGACATTGTTTTCGAATAATAAGTTCATTCGAGAGAGATCATGCAAAGATAACTTAGTTAGGAGACAATGAATCGAACCCAAAACAACCGATTCATAGATGTTGTTGCTCAATTGTTGATCATGACTCAATCGACATTACAACAAAACAGGTATATAACGGCGTTTGTAGCGGCGTTTTCAAAGCAAACGCCACTAAATTTATACATATCGTGGCATTTATATCCAAAACGCCACTAAATAATAACATTAACGGTGTTTTTCACAAACACCGTTAAAACTCATACTTTAGTGGAGTTTATTTGGCAAACGCCGTTACAAATAAGTACTTTAGTGGCATTTTTAAACAAATGCCGCAATAGAGTACATATATCGTGGCATTTTTAGACAAACGCCATAATAGGGTACATATATTGTGGCGCTTTTAAACAAACGCTGCAACAAATTGGTATTTTAGTGATGTTTTTTACACAAACGCCACAATAGGTTTTACATATATAGTGGCGTTTTTGAACAAATGCCGTTACAAACTTGTACCTTAGTGGCGTTTTTTAGAAAACACCACAATACATTTCATATATAGTGGCGTTATTAAACAAACACGACAACAAACTTGTACTTTAGTGGAGTTTTTTAGAAAACGTCGTAATGTTTTATAATTTTAATCTTGCGAAATCCTTTCCCCTTTTTCTCTATTCCCACGATCCCCTTTTCCTATTTGCCATCTCCGTCGGACATACCTAAATAGCTACGAAACTGTTGTTGCTCGTCGCCGCTCGAAGTTGTCGAGGCCTCCAACGTCACGCCATCAACGCTCAACTCTCTGCCATCGTTTGTGCTCTTACTTACGGTAAATTCCCATCTTTTTTCTAAACCCTAATTTCATTCTTTCGATATGTTATTTTGTTTAATTTCATTCTTTCGATTTGATTTCCGAATATTAATAACTCCTAAAAAATCCGAAACAACGCCAGTGAGAGTCGCGGAGAGCTCCACACCTTCTCAAGTTTCAGGTTTTTCCTTATTCATTTTAAGTTCCCTTATTAAGAATTTTGAATTTGATCTGGGTTTTTAAAGTTTCTATCTTTTTCTCGATTCATATTCGATAGTTTTGTTCGATTTTGAAGGTACCAATTCCGGAGATACTTCGTCCCCAGCTTATACGCTTTTGAGCGTTGGACAGATCGATGAATTTTCCCTTGGGACTTTGAATTTTTTATCTTATTCCTTAAAACCCTTTTGAATCCATTGATAATTCGTTATTATGGGAGTTTTGATTTTAGTTTCTGAATAATTTTTTTTTAATGTTAGTTGGTTTGGGTTAGTTTAAGCATATCATTTTATGTGGGAAAGAATTTATAAAATTTTAGGAAGGCGAATTTATAAGATTTTTGGAAGCGAAAATAAATTATAAATAGAAAATAGTTTACGCATAGTCTTGTTCCTACCTATGAATAAATCCTGTAGTGGATTTTATGACAATATTGTTTTATTTGCAGACATTTTCTTGTACACAAAATGTCTCTAGTTTACAAAAAGAGGAAGCTTGGAGAGTTAATGTCCGAATACAAGGATGTGATCTCGAACACGGGTATCTTTGTGGGACAATGGAAGCTCTAAATGTTCCTATGGCCGATACACCAGTAAGTTGAATGCTTTAACCGACCGAGTAGGTTTTGAAATGTTTGCTGGGAGTCATCCTCTTAAGTTTCACTGTGTAATGATCATTTGATTTTACAATGTTTGATGAATTTGTACCACAGAAAGCTTATCAAGTTATACTTTAAGATGGACATTGCCTTCTAGTGTGACTATTTCCGTTATATATCTTCATTTCTAATACTTCGTGGATTTTAGCTGTCTAAGTTTTCCCTTTCTTAACTTCTTGCATTAATCTGTCATCATCATGGTATACGCAAGAGGCGTATTGCGTATGGTTTTACTTCTTTAATACAAAGCGTGATGAATATGACTAAAGTAAAAAGTTGTTAACTGGTTTTGTTAAGAGAACCGAACTGCCCAAGTTTACTTAGACTTACTCATTTCCTTGTAGAAACTTGTTAATATTAGTGTTTTAATCCAAAATCTAGAGAATCTGAACAATCTTCAGAAGTTTGTCCGTATCAAGTACAATTTTACACAACCAGCAATCTTGTGATGTAGGGAAAAAGGATTCGTTATTTACTTTTACTTTCATATTCTTGTAGCATGTAATTTGAGTAAGTTTGTCTTAAAATTTATTTATTAAAGAATTATTGTGAAACAGATTAAGTTGCTTTGATTTTTACTGCAGAGAGAGATCCTCGGAGGATCAAAAGCTTTTGTCAAGTTATATGCCTTTAATTAAAGAGTTCATCCCCGAAGCTGTTGCCGAAATTGAATCCTATATGTGTTTGGAAAAGTTTGTGAATTGTAAATTTGGTTTCTTATGATGAACCACTGTTTGCTGCACTATGTCTGGCCTTTCTGCTGCTATTGTTTTCGGCTTTAGAGTTCACCGTTTGATCTTTCATATTCATATATGGTTTTTATGCAGTTGATTTCACTGGTTTTCCTGCAATGCTGTTTCATTATAGAATTGTATTATTTGTGTACTCTTTAGTATTATTTGGTTTTTATGCAGTTGATTTCACTGGTTTATGCAGCTGCTATGATGTGTTATTTCCTTTTCTAATTAACATGCAGAACAATATGTGTATGACTACTACACTGTGAAGGATGACTCTGATGTAGACGAGGATATGGCCTCAAATCCATTACCACTGTGAGTATAACATTACATAGTCTGTTATTTCATCTCTCTCCCTCTCTCTTACACACACATTGAAAGTGATGCATGATCTTGTTGCAGGGTGCAGGTGGATGATGAGGATTTCTATGATGTGCCATATGAGTCGGAATATGATAGTGAAGATTCAAATGGTAACATTTAGAGTCTAGTCTCTGTCACCAAATTCTGGGGATGTTGGTATGACTTGTATATTCTTTTTGGTGTTTGCAGCTGAAGATAATCCAAGAAATGATTATCCCGATGAAACATCCGATGAGGATGAAGAGGAGGAGGAAGAGGATGAAGATGAAGATGAAGATGAGGAGAGTAAATCCTCTAGTTAATAACGTTGAACTACATTATATTTCACTTTAATGTAAACTTTAATTTATTATTATGGATTTCAAGTTTGTTGTTATGGATTTCAAGTTTATAGGATAATGTTACAGGTTAAAATTTTAAATCTGGGTGATAAAAGAGCAGAAAACATTTAAAAAATCAATTTTAATTAGCGTCGTTAGTTTAATAAAACACCACTAAATTCATAATCAATACCGGCGTTTGTAAAACAAAACGCCATTAAAGTTCAAGATCTTTTGCGGTGTTTATATAGAAAAACACCACTATACGTAGTCAATAGCGGTGTTTTACAATCACAAACGCCACTATATGTCAGAATATTTAACAACATTTATGAGAACAAACGCCACTAAAGAAAAGATAAATTGCGACGGCGTTTGTAACAAACGCCGCTAAAAAGCATAACCTTTAGCGGAGTTTGTTTTAGCGACGCTTTTTGTGGCGTTTGTTTTTGCACCAGAAGGGTTTTTTAACGGCGCATAAAAATGCCTCTATATGACAAAAAAAACGCCGTTAAAAACCCGTTTTGCTGTTGTGCGAGTCATAGATGGTTGTGGGGTACTAATGATCAGATTTTGAGTTGGAAGTTGATGAGATGAACAGCCGGCCGTGGATTGAAAATGTAAGTCGAACCCGTGTGACGGAGAAGCATGCTCGAATTCGGGATTTACATCTTCGTGATCAGCCGAGGATCAAACTCGATTCCAAAGATTCAAACGGTATTTCTACAAGCCCTTCATTTGTCAGTGTTGTTTTTGGTCAAAAGATGATACAACACTAAAAAACAAAACATTACCTGAAGATGACTGGCAACATGTTCTCTTGAAAGACCAGTAACGTTCATAGCCTGCATACGCTCCAAGATTTTCTTAGGTTGAGCCTCTGCAGATCAAGACAAAACACAGGGGTATTACTTAAGACACTCTTCATTTTTCTTTTAGTATCATGTTCGACATTCGAACATATTCGTATCCGATCCATCGGAGTGTAATTTGAATTGTTAAGACTAGAAAACGTACCAGACAATAGAGGGTTTGTTCATAGTTCATACTTTCATGCTCTAGTTGATTAAGAGCAGCAACAAAAATTTCATATAGCTCTTGTGTCCAAATAAGCCTCCGTTTCTTCAGGGTCATCACTTGGATGATTCCCGGCCATTATCGTCTTCGTCCTCCTCTTCGTTTTCTTTCGTATGCTTCGAGCTTTGTAAGATTCCTTTACCTTCCACAGGCAGCTGAAAACCTCGAAACTTTCGATTTCTGTTGCTAACGATATGCTGCCAATTGAGTTGAACGGCTTCCATTTGAACTGGTTTCAGCAAATAATCACAAGCACCATGGATTATACACTTCATAACAACTCCTTTTTGATCATCCGAAGACATCACTGTATAACAAAAACAAACATTGGATCAAATATATAAGTGGACAAGTATTGTTAACATCTGATGCATATTTATTTTCACTTACTAACAACTGGTAAATCCATCTCTAATCCAATGATCTAAAGCAGCTTTAATGTAACTCCCAAGACCCGGCCAAGACGTTGCGGTCGAATCTTGAAAGTCACATTGATCACCAAAGTGATCTAGAATTTAATTCAAAATAATTTATCAGATATTAAATCATAATCACAAATAATTTATACAATTATTATCACTTTATCCAAATATTCTTTTTTTTTTAAATTTGAGACTCCGATCCTCGAGATGTCGATCCGATCCTAATTCTAAAATATCTAAAAGAGAGAAATAAAGAGGATGAGTTATAGAGCTTAGTGCGGTCAAAATGTACGAATAAATAAAGTATTCAGAAAAGTCAACAAACATAATTAGAGTACGAGTCATAATATTCATGGTATGAATAAATATGCAGATGTAAATGCACCCATACATCACACCCGTCTGAAGAGTAGGTTCCCAGAACCAGTCTAACTACAACACACCATCCGAATTGGGGTAGATCACAAAGGTAGAGGCCACTGAATCTGAAGTGAAATTCACCCCGTCGGGTGAATACACTGAACATCCCCTATCAATCCCAACCCAATATGACATGATAACATAACATATATATGATATCTTATCTGATCCAAATGTAAAAATAATTACATAATCACATAGTCCGAATGCATAAAATAAAGTCAGAATATGATATATCAACATGTGTCGCATAACATATAACAAATATGCATTTAATACAAACAATTTTCACAAAAACAACCATGCTTCCAATTCAATCTTCAATCAATCAATAAAAAAAATACCTATAGCATCGGACAGAGACACATAGAGATTTATATACATCACCACAACATCAATCAAAATTTAATTATTCTAAATTCAATAGAAAATCTATTAAACAGAATCAAAATGATTGTAGCACGGTAGGACACACACCATAAATCGTATAGAGATAAAGATATTAATGAGCAAAGACTTTTGTGGTCGGAATCTTGAGTCGAAGGTTTAGTGGAGAGAGACCACACGATCTTAGAAAAGCTAACTAAATTAATAGTCACTGAATTTGAAACGAAATAATAAGGGAAAAGATGAATTTGTTTTCTCTCTTTATTTCATGGCAATATATAGAGTTTAGAAAGAAATAAAAAAAATTATAAATTGATAATATCAAATTAAACTAAACTAAAGATAAAGATAGAGATAAAGATAGAAGTCTTATTTAAAAGTCAACTCTAAAATAGATAATTTATGGAATATATTTTAGAATTGAAATAAATAATATAATAGATAATATAATATAAACAATTTAAGATAATAAGATAATGCTTATAAGATAATAAGGAAAATAACTTGAAATGAAACAAACTTAGGAATTACACTTTAAACATAATTCTAAAATAAAAAATTTGAGGAAAATTGATTACTAAAAATAAGTTGGTAAAACTACAAGATAAGTCGATATCTTTAAAATTAACATTTATTCAATTTAGCTCTAAATTAAATAATTGAAGCAATTAAAAATTTTGATTTATCAAGAGTAAAATATTAACCTGAATTTTGGAGTGTGGCATTCAATCCATGTATTTCACAAAGCACAATATCGAATCTAGTTTCGTCTTCTCGAAGCAAAGCAAGCCCATGTCTTTCTTGTTGACACTTTGTCACTGAAAATCACCATGAAATCAACACATCTCGAGACATAACAATTACAATTTCTCATATAAACAATATTCAGAAGCGTATAATCTCTGGTTTAGGAGAGAAAGAAAGAAATAACAGTGAACTTGCAATGAACGAGATGAATGATTCAAACAGATCGGTAGAACTCGATTAAATACCTTCATATTTGAGCTTTCGAAGCATTGTTTCCAAAACAAATAGGCACGTAATACTATTATCAACTATGAGAATCCTCAAACCGGAGGGAAATTCATCATTGTTCTCCATTGGATGAGCAAACTCCAACACATGAGTGAAAGGGTTAATAAAATAAAAAAGAAAGCTGAGTGTAACTGGAAAAAGTGGTTGAATAAAGCAATGGAAAAAAAAGTACACATAGTGCAGTCGAACAATTATTTGCTTAAGTAGAGTGATTGCTACAGTGACCTCCATAGGTCTCCAGGAGCACACGGCGACCTCCATAGGTCTCCAGGAGCACACAACGACCTACCTACAGTGACCTCCATAGGTCTCCAGGAGAACACGACGACCTCCATAGGTCTCCAGGAGCACACAGCGACCTACTTAGCGTGCATGAGCCATGCATGCGAGAGAAGAGCTGCAACAGCGAGGGAAGAGAGAAGAGTTGCTGCAACAGAGGAGGTTTTGTCGCAAAGAGCATTTGGCGACCTATGGAGCACTGTAGCAAGTACCTCAGTTCAAGAAATAATTTGGTTAGAGCCCTGTATGGGGAATTGTTTTTACCAACGCCCTACATGGGCGAGGAAGCCGAGTGTAACTAATAACAAGAAGCTTTCTTAGTGGAGGATGACCGAGTAGTTCTTTTTAAGGTAGTTCATAATTATGACTGCCGGAGGTCTTCCACGGAAGCTGCTCTCAACCTGGCGTTGGGGGCAGCCTACTACCTTACCTCCCCCTCACCCCATTATATATGGGAATAGGGTCAGCTAATTTTTTTTTGAATTTACTCGATTTTTCTATAGCGACTGATTAAGAAGAAATGAGCGAGACTATAGAGTTTGTTTGATGTGTTGTTTCCATAAAAAATGAAAAAAAAAAAGAAAGGGCAGACATCGCATTTAGTCCCTAAACTATCACTTTTGGTCTGTATTAGTACCTAAAACATTATTTTTTAAATTATACCTAACGTTTAGTTTTTGTTTCATTATAGTATCCCACCATTAAAAACTTAACAAACGGGCTGATGTGGCATAGCTCCAGTAGACGGACGGCCAATCCGAACGGTGGACCATGAGAGAATGATGAGGCGACCAACATAGTCCAATTTCAAGCCCATTGGACGGTGGATCATGGAGATTGAAGGATGAAAAAAAATCAAAGAGTCCATTATCAATTTGGGGAGATTGAGGCATTTTCCGATGAAACATATGACAAAATCGCATTTAGGGGATCGAAAAGGTGAGGGTTGAAAAGTTTAGGCTTTGCCAGCCGATAGATGCGATGCTCAGAGAATGTTGACGATGCGACCGTCGAGCTCGTCTGTTAAGTTTTTAACAGATGGTACTAAAATGAAACAAAAACTAAACTTTAGATATGGTTTTGAAAAAAATTAAAGTTTAGGTACTAAAACAGATCAAAACTAACAGTCTAGATACTACATGCGTACTCTAACAAAAAGAAAATGGTTAAATAGATCATGATATCACATGAGAGTGTATTCAGTTGTATTCAAGTCTAGTATTAACATTTATTTACTTATTTGTGTTAATATTCTTTCAGTGACTGCACGTTTACACTATATATAATTAATAAGAGTTTAAGATTTTTTTTAACAATTTTTACCTATAAGGGACATTTTTACCGA